TATCTGTGTCTGGTCCTTCACCTCCAGGCCTGCAGGCCTATTCTCCTTCTCCTCACACAGCCTGGTAAACAGTGCTGTCACACTAATGACACTCGACAGATCTGTCTGGCTGCACTTAACTGCACTAGACAATTCTTGCCTGTTCTACATTCCACTGCACTCATTCTACAGTTCCCTAATGAGCCATTCCTCATCTTATTTCTGAGTACAGAGGACAGTAATGTAGAGAAAAGAGTGTAAGGAAGAGATGTGTTCTCTAGTTCATTGAATGCGAGCCACAACAAGATCTCAGCCCATTTTAGTTGTCCATGTTAGAATGGCCCTGAGTCATTATTATTATACAGGATTTATATAGCGCCAACAGTTTGCTCAGCGCTTTGCAATATAAAGGGAGACAATACAGCAACAATACAGTTCAATACAAGAGGGATAGGAGGGCCCTGCTCCTTGGAGCTTACAATCTAAGAGGGAGGGGCTGGTGGTACAAAAGGTAATAACTGTGGGGGGTGGACTGGTAGGAGGAATAGAAGATTCCATTATTAGCTGAGGGCAGGATAGGCTTCCCTGAAGATTTTCAGAGATCACCTAAAAGTGAGCAGAGTAGGCGATAGTCTGATAAATTGGGGTAGAGAGTTCCAGAGGATGGGGGAAGCTCTGGAGACGAGCATGGAAGGAGGAGACAGGGGAGATAGAGAGCAGGAGGTCGTGTGAGGAACGGAGAGTACGGTTTGCATGATAAATCCTAGATTGTAAGCTCGAAAGAGCAGGGCCCTCAATCCCCTCATGTTTTCCATTCTATTGGTATTGTTCTGTCCCCCTTTGTAATGTACAGCGCTGAGCGAACTATTGGCGCTTTATAAATACTGTATAATAATAATATTTGGAGATTGGTGATGTCATTTGGGGCAGAGTTATAAATGGCTTTATATGTTATTGTTAATGTTTTGAATTTTATCCGTTGGGCAATGGGAAGCCAGTGGAGGGATTGGCAGAGAGGGGTGGAGGACACTGAGTGGAGGCCAGTGGAGGGATTGGCAGAGAGGGGTGGAGGACATTGAGTGGAGGTCAGTGGAGGGATTGGCAGAGGGAGGGATGGAGGACACTGAGTGGAGGCCACTGGAGGGATTGGCAGAGAGGGGTGGAGGACATTGAGTGGAGGTCAGTGGAGGGATTGGCAGAGAGGGGTGGAGGACACTGAGTGGAGGCCAGTGGAGGGATTGGCAGAGATGGGTGGCAGATACGGAACGGTTGGCAAGGTGGATGAGTCTGGCAGCAGCATTCACGATAGACAGACGAGGGGATAGCCTGCGATGAGGTCGGCCAATGAGGATGGAGTTACAATAGTCAAGGCGAGAGATAACAAGGGAGTGAATAAGTTGTTTAGTAGTTTCAGAGGTTAAGAACGGGCGTATCGTGGCGATGTTGCGGAGGTGAAGGCTACAAGATTTGAAGAGCGAAGCATTGTTGTAAACATTTCTTTATAATTAGGAGCGACACCTTGAAGGGCGAGTGGCCAAAAACATTGGTGAGCCTTCATGGACTATGGCTTGTAGTGGCATGCCTTTCCCATGCTTTTCTATGTTTTAGATAAAATAGGGCCTGTGGGTACCCTGAAGAGAGAAAAGTACTCTGCTGAATACTGGGGTATACAGTGCACACTTATTCTGATGTCTTTGTACCCACAAAATACACCTTGATACTGAGCCACAAGTGACACATTAGAGGTGAGACTTGGTATGGCCTCAGCCATGATTTTCCAGGAGTCGTGTCTAGGCAAACGTTCACATTTTTGGTCAACCCTGGCCAGCAAACTTACAGGATCCAATCCTGATATGAGACTGGCTAACCCAGCCCCCTCATTGTAAAATAGTAGGGGCAAAGCAGCAATATGATAATGTGTTGGAGCTATTGTAGAGAGAGCATAGGATTGGCTGACAACTATATAGGGAGAGATTAGTGTAGGATTTAGATTAAATCCGTTAATACTGAATAACACCAGTGCTGTGTATCTTACACATTTTCCACTTGTATTTGGGAAAAAAACCTACTTTTTCATCCTTTGTCACATCTCAGTGCTGGTTACACTGTTCAACAGGTAAAAAGTTTTGGGCATAAAATTAGCTAATCTTACATAATTTTGGGGTGCTGAAAAACGAAAATGACCCTAAAAAATGTTGATTGGCTCTAGTTTCCATGATATATTCACCCATCTAATGACGTAAGCCATTCAAAATTATGATGCAACTTCAGCTGCATATTGCGCAATTGATACTGGTGACCAATAGAAAATTGCATGTATACTGAGATGATGCAATATTAGCCTTTAATTGCATCACTTCACTGCATAAAAGCTGCAGTATCTGTAGCTGATTGTAGTTCGACAGCGTCTTTACATTTCGTTTTATGCTTATATAGGCTACTCAGTAATGCCTCGAACTTGTGTGAATAAAGCAGATAATTTCTGCTATATCTGCGGTGAAATAACTTTTATCTCACAAAAAAGGAGGATAACAGGAATGATTAAGAAAGCCTACAACTTGTATTTTGGCTGCAAGATAGGAGACCAGGACAAGAGCTGGGCACCACATATATGCTGCAATTCTTGTGGGACGGCACTGGAGCAATGGTTGAATGGAAAAAAGGCATCTATGCCTTTCCGCTGTGCCAATGATTTGGAGAGAGCCAACAGATCATGTTAGTAATTGTTACTTTTGTATGGTGCCTCCAATTGTAAAAGGGCTAAATAAGAAGAAAAAGTTATCTGTGCACTATCCAAATATTCCATCGGCAATACGTCCAGTTCCTCATGGAGAGGGGCTACCAATTCCTAAAGCACCAGAATCCTTCGTGGTTGAGTCAAGTGAGGAAGAACCTGAAGCGTGTAGTCACGTGCAGTTGTAAGAGATAGCCCTTTCCTCGAATACAAGAGAAAAGCCAAGAGAAGCAAAACCAACACAAACTGAAGACAAAACTAGTGAGAATCCTAAGTATTAAAATGATTCAACTTAGCTTATGGCTATAATTTTTCTTGGTAATCCTATGCAATATATTATGCCATTTAGGCTTTGTTATGTAGTCAATATCACTTGCTTTATATTTGTGGAAAGACATCTATCTATATAATTATTGTGCATTATGTAGTCATTACGCCTATAGTAGAAAACTTTCCGTTTACAGAAAAACTAGAGCCAATTGACAAATTTCATTGTTATATTTGAACTCAGAATGTGAAATTCATTAAGAAATGGATCCTTTTGTTTCCAAAACTGGCAAAAAAAATAAAAATTTGTTGAACAGTGTTATTTGCAACTTCTTTGGAGCCACATCCTACGCTCACGCAGTAAAGTGATGACTGCATGGTATATCATAGGGCGGGTTTCCTTATAGTGACAACAGTGGAACAAGCATCTGCACAGTTGATTGTTTGGTCGAACATGTAACGAGGTGACTTACAGGCAGGATATTATAGGAGACCGCGTCACCCCATAGCACAAATTTTCCAAACCAAGGGATTTTCAATTTTCCAATCACCAGCTATGTTAAAAGCATTCACTATATCTGGTCTCCCACAGTACACAGAACATGGAAATGCAATTATTTTAGTAAATATAAACTGCTAAATACCCTTTCTCATCATCAGTTAAAGCAGTCTTGTGACTTCTATCAGTGCCCAGCAGATCACTGGTCAAAGCTTGTAGGAGGAGTTTTCATTTTCCTCTCACTGTCCTATGAGAATGCAGGACCTCTGACCCTCTGTCGGGACAGTGCTGATTGGTCCTGTGCTGATCACATGATCTCTCCCAAGAAAAAGAAAAAACTATGAGCATGAGCAGCTTGCCCCCATGGCTCCGTTCTATCAGCAGATGAAATGGTGACAGTAGAAGAAGGGGGGAATCAGAGAAGACAGGATCTAACATCCTTTTTACATAATGCGGAGGATTAAACCCTTAGGTCCCACAGTGAGTATAACAAGCATGCTTCACTGCCTATACAGACTGATATTACTGTTGTGCGTTTAGTAACACTTTAAGGGAATTCCTTGGGGACAGTGAAAGGAGGAGGGGATCAGAGAAGACAGGATCAAACAGCCTTTTTACACAGTGCAGAGTGATTATAACAAGCATGTTTTACTGCGTATACAGACTGATTTTACTGTTGTGGGTTTAGTAACACTTTAAAGGTTGCAAAAAGATATAAAATGTTTATGGAAGTGACAATAACATGTTAAAGCTTAAAGTGCAACTTCACGCTCTCAATCAATATTGACTACTCTGCGCAGGCCAGTCCAGTTCCTCCATCCCAGACTCTCGCATCCATGTCTTGCATTGTGAACTGGTGTGCAGTCATGTTGGAACAGGAAGGGGTCATCCCCAAACTCTTCCCACAAAGTTGGGAGCATGAAATTGTCCAAAATGTCTTGGTATACTGATGTCTTAAGAGTTCCCTTCACTGGAACTAGGGGGCCAAGCCCAACCCCTGAAAAACAACCCCATACCATAATCCCCCTGCACCAAACTTTACACTTTGCACAATGCAGTCAGGCAAGTACCGTTTTCCTGGCAACTGTCACACCCAGACACATCCATCAGATTGCCAGACAGAGAAGCGTGATTGGTCACTCCAGAGAACACGTCTCCACTGCTCTAGAGTCCAGCGTGCTTTACACCACGCATCCGACGCTTTGCATTGCACTTGTTGATGTAGGATTTGGATGCAGCTGCTCGGCCATGGAAACCCATTCCATGAAGATCTCTACACACTGTTGTTGTGCTAATCTGATTTCTGCGCACTGTGCGCTTCAGCATGCGCTGACCCCGCTCTGTCATTTTACGTGGCTGAGTTGCTTTTGTTCCCAGTTGCTTCCACTTTGTTATATTACCACTAACAGCTGACCGTGGAATATTTAGTAGCCAGGAAATGTCATGGATGGACTTATTGTACAGGTGACAACCTATCACGGGACCACGCTTGGAGTCACTGAGCTCCTGAGAGCGACCCATTTCTTTCACAAATGTTTGTAGAAGCAGTCTGCATGCCTAGGTGATGATTTTATACACCTGTGACCATGGAGGTGATTGGAACACCTGAATCACATGATTTGGAGGGCTGGCCCAATACTTTTAGTAATCTCCTAGATTGAAAGCCCCAAGGATCAGGGCCCTCCTAACCCTCTTGTATTGAACGGTATTGTTGCTGTATTGTCTCCCTTTATATTGTAAAGCGCTGAGCAAACTGTTGGCGCTATATAAATCCTGTATAATAATAATAATGCTGTGTATATCATATTTACTTGTTTTATACTTTTTTTTTTTTTCAGTTACTTCCTGATTTTCAGGCATAGGCAAATTATTTCATACATCTCAGGAGTCTTCAGAAGGGGAGGCGGGGTATTCTCAGCTAAGCACACCCACCTTCCTGCATGTCTGAGCTAAGGGCAGATGGATTCCAGGAAGTAAATGCGACATGAATCATCTGCCCTTAAGATGGCCACAGCCAGAAATGCTAGGGGGGAAGGGGGTGTTCAAAGTGATTTCTATGAAAAATAAAGCATGTAAACATGGATGGGTGGGTGGGTTGCTTTGAATATTAAAAATGAGTTAAACAGTCTTTTCAGTTTGTTGTGCTCAGATACAGTTGAGTTCCGCTTGGCTATTATAGAACAGATCTACTGTTATTCATGGCAATGGACTCTGTGCTTTACCTGCATTTCAGTCACAGCAGCCTCTGTGTCTGGAGGAAGGTGAAATGCTCAACACACGTAATTACAGTCCAGCTTTGATTATTAAAAATGATTATGAATGAAATGAATGAATAATGTTTTTGGTTTGTGGTGCTCAGGTTCCGTTTTAAACAATCCCATGTTTCCCGTGCCACCCAGTCCCCATATATCCAATACCCAGCCCCTGTGGTTTGGTTTGGTAGAAACTGGGCAGAAAAGATGCCAGCCTGACTCCAGCAGAGGGCTGCGATGTGATTCTGCAGCAAACTCAGTCACTCCTTGTGGGGTACGTTGGTGAATTCCAAGTGGCTCCTTAGACTCTGCTCTTCAGGACTTGGGCAAAATGACCAGAGGCACTTCCACATGACAACCAGCAAAGGCCTAAATATGGAGACAGAAAGCAGACAGACATTCCAGAAAATCAGAGCTGCACCATTTGTCCATCAAAGATTGTCTCCCATGATGTTATTACAGTTTCCGTAAAGATTTGCACAGAGAGACATACAAAGGCACCTCTTTATTTTTTTTTTAGTTATTGCTAAGTAAATCGTATTTTCCGTGGAATCGATAACTCGAGAATTCGGTTTGAGCAGTGTTTTATGTCCCCAACTAGCTCACCAGCAACAATTTCTCTGCATTCACTTTTATGACTTAGATGCAAATCACTGAAGGAGAGTGATTTGTAGCAGAACGCACCAACGTAATGATGTAGCAGCGACAAATTGTCAGTGACTATAGCTATTACATTTCTAACTACAAATCGCTAGTAATTGACTTTACCGATCTGTAGCAGTATGGAATTACTGGTAAAAAAAATCGCCTGTCTGAAATGGCCCTTAGGCTGACGTCAGGGGGGGGCAACTCCGCCACTAGCAATCCTACACCAATGGCGATTTGTCAAAATCACCGATGGGTAGTATTGGTAAGAGGCAGCCGGTTTGTCTTGATGGAATTGCCTCTGCTGTAGCTAATCAAGCGATTTGGGTTCCGCAACGTTTGGGCCAGCAACAAAGCGACATCTGGCTGCAAAGGAAGCAATTCCATAGGGATAGAGAGGCAGCCTCTTTTGTGATCTTGCTGCTGACGATTTGTCTCCTGCAAAATTGCCCATCTGACATCAGCTTTTGGGTGCAATTGAGCTTTTTTTTCTACATAGGGTACACGGGCGTGGAGTGCGCCTAGGGTACACGGGCGTGGAGCGCGGCTAGGGTACACGGGCGTGGAGCGCAGCTAGGGTACACGGGCGTGGAGCATGCCTAGGGTACACGGGTGTGGAGCGTGGCTAGAGTATACGGGCGTGGAGCACGCCTAGGTACACGGGCGTGGAGGGCGCCTAGGGTACACGGGCGTAGAGGGCGCCTAGGGTACACGGCGTGGAGGGCGCCTAGGGTACACGGCGTGGAGGGCGCCTAGGGTACACGGGCGTGGAGGGCGCCTAGGGTACACGGGCGTGGAGGGCGCCTAGGGTACACGGGCGTGGAGGGCGCCTAGGGTACACGGGCATGGAGGGCGCCTAGGGTACACGGACATGGAGGGCGCCTAGGGTACACGGGCGTGAAATTCGGCTAGGGTACACGGGCGTGGAGGGCGCCTAGGGTACACGGGCGTGAAATTCGGCTAGGGTACACGGGCGTGGAGCGCGGCTAGGGTACACGGGCGTGGAGGGCGCCTAGGGTACACGGGCGTGGAATTCGGCTAGGGTACACGGGCGTGGAGGGCGCCTAGGGTACACGAGCGTGGAATTCAGCTAGGGTACACGGGCGTGGAGCTCGCCTAGGGTACACGGGCGTGGAGCTCGCCTATGGTACGCGACGTGGAGGGCGCCTAGGGTACGCGGGCATGGAATTCGGCTAGGGTACACAGGCGTGGAGTGTGTGATAACATGCTGTTACCATTCTGTAGATGGACTCCAACTCAATTACTGAGACCCTCCCATCTTTTTTAATATGTATGTGTTGACTAAAGCAGCGTTTTTCAACCACTGTGCCGCGGCACACTAGTGTGCCGTGAGATATTCTCTGGTGTGCCGTGGGAAAAATTCCAATTTCATCTGTAACATGTGGCTTCGGCTCACAAATAGACCAATCATTAGAATCTAATGATTCAGTGGTCGGCAAGCCGCGGCTCGCGAGCCACATGCGGCTCTTTACCCAGTCTAATGCGGCTCTTCTGTGTGCCGGGCGCCTGCTCCCCTCCTACTCCATCGGTAGGCCGCTCCCCTGCCTCCTCTCGGTTGGCAGCCCCAAAAGTCCGCGCGGGACGACCTTTTAATCCGGCTTGCGGATGTGGCTGTCAGGATGTGTGTAGGCGGGGCAGCGTGCCGAACGTGAGGGGAGGGGAGCTAGGCTCCTCTCACAGTCCGCCCTGAAGACCCGAACGGCGCGGGAAGACAGCGAGAGGAACGCAAAAGGTAAGTGAATTGACACGGGGGACTTGGCTTTACTAGAAGGGGGGGGGGGGGAATAGTACTGTGGGGGATGAAATACTATATGAGGGATGAATTACTTTATGAGGGATGAAATACTATATGGGGGGATGAAATACTATATGGGGGATGAATTACTATATCAGGGATGAATTACTATATGAGGGATGAAATACTATATGGGGGATGAAAATACTATATGGGGGGATGAAATACTATATGGGGGATGAATTACTATATGAGGGATGAAATACTATTTGGGGGGATGAAATACTATATGAGGGAGTGAAATACTATATGGGGGATGAATTACTATATGAGGGATAATTATGTAATGAGGGATGAAATACTATATGGGGGGATGAAATACTATATGAGGGATGAAATACTATATGAGGGGATGAAATACTATATGGGGGGATGAAATACTATATGGGGGATGAAATACTATATGAGGGATGAAATACTATATGAGGGATGAAATACTATATGGGGGGATGAAATACTATATGGGGGGATGAAATACTATATGGGGGATGAAATACTATATGAGGGATGAATTACTATGGGGGATGAATTACTATATGGAGGATGAATTACAATATATGGGGATTAATTACTATGCTTACTATGGGGGGATATACTATATACTTACTATGGATGACACATACACATCATTCATCTACTCTTGGTCCGGCCCCCGGGTCCAATTATAAAATACTTTATTATTTCATAATAAAGTAATTATAAAATAATTTCTTTGTGTTGATTCCTATTCAGAGAATTACTTTATATATAGTCAATATAGGCACAGAGGTAAATTTTTTTAACATTTTCTAATGGTGGTGTGCCTCGTGATTTTTTTTCATGAAAAAAGTGTGCCTTTGCACAAAAAAGGTTGAAAAACACTGGACTAAAGGACCCAGAGTGCATAGTTTTAGTCTCCTCTTGTTAGGTGAGAGTTCATGGTGTTTTTCTATTTGCATATAAATTCCAGTGTGTCTTTGCCCATAACACTGCCATTGTCCCCAATCTGTTCCCCCATCAGCCTTTCAGGCACAGGATGTACTGAATAACAGCTGATCCTCACCTCCCCCCAGCTTGAGTTCTGGGTAGAAGTGAGAGATTCATATGCAAACATCTGAGCATGATTTCCTCTATTGAAGGATATTATTAATTACACTAAACACAGATTCACAGATGTGGATACAGGAATCTCCCCCCCCCCCTGATTAGTTACAGTATGCAGCCATTGGCTGCAACAGCTGATCAAATGCTGGTTTTCCAAGCAGACCGTACCACAGAAGCCAGTCTAAGGATCTGCTTCTTTTGAACAGACAGGGCTACACATCGATTGAAAATTTGTCTGGGTCCTGCTGAACTGGGCAAACTTCGATGTGTACACCCAGCTTAAGGTACACAAAACAGACACCATAAAACTTGCTATTATATTGTCTCTTTAACACACCTGAGAAGCAGAGTACAAACTACCATCCCTGTTCAGATTGCTGATATTTAAAGTATAACTAAAGGCAAATTTATTTCTTCTAGTTTTGAACAGTGTAGAGGGATTAGAACGCTTGCCAGGTCTTTATTGCTGTCTGTGACCCTGTTAAGGAGATTCATCCTCTCTATTTGTCCTGTTCACCATTATCATTGCAAGTGAAAGTAAAAGAAAATCCTACATTTTGGGTTATCCTCAAAAAAGTAATAGAAGAGAAATCTTCCAACGGGGACACTAGTTTCTGGTGACCTGAGGTCCCCAAGGAATTCCCTTAAAGTGTTACTAAACCCACAACAGTAATATCAGTCTGTATAGGCAGTTAAAGCATGTTTGTTATACTCACTGTGGGACCTAAGGGGTTAATCCTCCGCATTGTGTAAAAAGG